ATTTTCAATACATTACAGCATTTGCTTGTTTTAAGGATGCAAAACAAAGTCCTATTGAAGGTGAGACAAACCATAATATAGCACAAGTTATGTTCTCTGAGATTAGAAAGATACCTTCTTAGCAGGCATCTACAGAAAAACCACATGGGCCTGTTAGGGATGATAATCCTTTTATGATTATCAGAGGCCCAACATGTATTTATAAACTAAGTGACAGTTTTCATATTTTAGAAAACATGGACCCCACTACACAAGGAAATAAGACAAAAGCCATGTATCTTTGCCTTGTGGAAAGTGTTTGTTTCCTTTACATCACACATTACTACTAGTATACAAACATGTTTTTTCAATCTTTGAAGTGTAATATATTTTAAATAGCATCAAGTAGATTACTTTAACAAGCAGCATTCAGCAGAACACATTTCAAATCCTTCCCAAATCATATATTCTACTTCAAGAATAGGAAGAGCTACAATTTTCCTATAAGGGTCCAAAACGTCACTCAACCCCAATCCCCTTGATGTCAGTGGAAATTTTGTCTAAGGAGTGCAGCATTGAGTCCCATGTTTGCAGCTTCTGGGTTTTATAATTTAAGGGTATGTCTACACTACGGGATTATTCCGATTTTACGGAAACAGATTGTATAAAGTCAAGTGCATGCGGCCACACTAAGCACATTAATATGGCGGTGTGCGTCCATGTACCGAGGTTAGCGTCAACTTCCGGAGCGTTGCACTGTGGGTAGCTATCCCATAGATCCCGCAGCCTCCCCCACCCATTGAAATTCTGGGTTGAGATCCCAATGCCTGATGGGGCAAAAAACATTGTCGCTGGTGGTTCTGGGTACAGCCTCACCTCTCCCTCCATGAAAGCAACGGCAGACAACTGTTTCGCACCTTTTTTCCTGGATGAACACTGCATTGCGGACGCCATACCACGTCAAGCATGGAGCCCGCTCAGCTCAAGACAGCAGTCGTGAACATTGTAAACACCTCACGCATTCTCGTGAGTTTATGCTGAACCAGGACCAGAAAAACCAGGCGAGGAGGAGGCGGCAACTGCAGCGCGGCGACGAGAGTGATGAGGACATGGACACGGACACAGAATTCTCTCAAACGGCGGGCCCCGGCACTTTGGAGATCATGTTGTTAATGGGGCAGGTTCTAGCCGTGGAACGCCGATCTGGGCCCAGGAAACAAGCGCAGACTGGTGGGATCGCATAGTGTTGCGGGTCTGGGATAATTCCCAGTAGCTGTGAAACTTTCACATGCGTAAGGGCACTTTCATGGAACTGTGTGACTTGCTTTCCCCTGCCCTGATGCACCAGAATACCAAGTTCAGAGCAGCCCTCACAGTTGAGAAGCGAGTGGCGATAGCCCTGTGGAAGCTTGCAACGCTAGACAGCTACCGGTCAGTCGGGAATCAAATCTACTGTGGGGGCTCCTGTGATGCAAGTAGCCAAAGCAATCACTGAGCTGCTGCTACCAAAGATAGTGACTCTAGGAAATGTGCAGGTCATAGCGGATGGCTTGGCTGCAATGGGATTCCCTAACTGTGGTGGGGCGATAGATGGAATCCATATCCCTATCTTGGCACCGGGGCAGCCAGTATATAAACTGCAAGGGATACTTTTCAATGGTGTTGCAAGCACTGGTGGATCACAAGGGACGTTTCACCAACATCAACGTGGGCTGGCTGGGAAGGGTTCATGACACTCGTCTTCAGGAACACCAATCTGTTTAAACAGCTGCATCAAGGGATTTACTTCCCAGACCAGAAAATAACTGTTGGGGATATTGAAATGCCTATAGTTATTCTTGGGGACGCAGCCTACCCCTTAATGCCATGGCTCATGAAGCAATACACAGGCAGCCTGGACAGTAGTCAGGAGCTTTTCAACTACAGGCTGAGCAAGTACAGAATGGTGGTAGAATGTGCATTTGGACGTTGGCGCACATTACTGACTCACTCAGACCGCAGCCAAACCAATATTCCCACTGTTATTGCTGCTTGCTGTGTGCTCCACAATCTCTGTGAGAATAAGGGGGAGACCTTTATGGCGGGGTGGGAGGCTGAGGCAAATCGCCTGGCCGCTAATTACAGGCAGCCAGACACCAGGGCGATTAGAAGAGCACACCAGGAAGCGCTGCGCATCAGAGAAGCTTTGAAAACTAGTTTCATGATTGGTCAGGCTACGGTGTGAAAGTTCTGTTTGTTTCTCCTTGATAAAAACCCGCCCCCTTGACTCATTCTCTGTAAGCAACCCACCTTGCTTTCAAAGGAAATAAAGTCACTATCGTTTAAAAATCATTTATTCTTTATTAATTGATTATAAAAAGAGGGAGAGAACTGACAAGGTAGCCTGGGTGGGGTTTGGGAGAAGGATAGGAGGGAAGGAAAAGGCCACTAAAAAAGTTCAAAGTAATGACAACCTTTTGGTTGGGCTGTCCACTGGGGTGGAGTGGGAGGGTGCACGGAGCCTCCCTCCCCTGCGTTCTTACATGTCTGGGTGAGGAGGCTATGGAACATGGGGAGGGGAGAGGGTGGTTATACAGGGGCTGCAGCGGCAGTCTGTGATCCTGCTGTCGTTCCTGAAGCTCCACCAGACACCGGAGCACGTCCGTTTGCTCACGCAGCAGCCCCAGCATTGCATCCTGCCTCCTCTGATCTTCCTGCCACCACCTCTCATTTCGAGCGTCTCTCCTCTCCTCACATTGGTCCCTTCTTTCCTCACGTTCACTGGCCTCTTTCCTGTACTTTGAAACCGCATCCTTCCACTCATTCAGATGAGCTCTTTCATTGCGGGTCGATTCCATGATTTCAGAGAACATTTCGTCACTCGTCCTTTTTTTCGCCTCCTTATGTGAGATAGCCTTTGGAACCGAGGAGAGAGGCTTGAAAAATTTGCAGCTGTGGGAGGGAGGGAAAAAAGGAAGAGAAGTATTTAAAAAAAGATACATTTTACAGAACAATGCTTATACTCTTTCACTGTGAACAACACTATTCACATTACGTAGCACATGTGATTTCGGTACAAGGTCACATTTTGCATCTTTATATTGATGTTTCGGTGTTAGAGAGCACAGACGCAGGACCGGGCAACAGAATTCGGCTTGCATGCGGCCATGGTAAGCCATTGTCTTTTGGCTTCAGAAAAGCAGCACCCTGCTTTCCCACATACCAAGCAAAGCCCTTTGAGTGCTGCGGTTTTCCTGTTAACATGCAGCAGCAGAAAACAAACTACCCCCCACCCCCTTCCAATTCTCTGGAATGATCACTTTATCCCTCCCCCCACCATGTGGCTGGTATCAGGGAAGATCCCTGCCAGCCAAACGCGAAAAGCTCAGCGCGAATGATCTTCCCTTCTCTCCCCCCACCCCCGCTTGGCTAACTGCAGGGAAGGATTTCTTTTCAGCTACAGGCAAACAGCCCAGTAGGAACGGCCACCTCTGTCCCCTTAATTAAATTCCCGTATTTCAACCAGGTTACCATGAACGATCACACTCTCCTGAGGATAACACAGCGAGATAAAGAACGGATGTTGCTTGAATGCCAGCAAACACCGGGACCATATGCTGCCAGGCTTTGTCATGCAATGATACGAGATTACTTGCTACTAGCATGGCGTGGTCAAGTGGCCTACCATGGAGGACGGAATAAGGCTGCACTGCCCAGAAACCTTGTGGAAAGGCTTTTGGAGTACCTCCAGGACAGCTTCATGGAGATGTCCCTGGAGGATTTCCACTCCATCCCCGACACGTTAACAGACTTTTCCAGTAGCTGTACTGGCCGTGAATGCATCCCAAGTCCTCAGGGCAAATTAATTATTAAAAATCGCTTGCTTTTAAACCATGTTTTATATTTACAAAGATACACTCACTGGAGGTCCCTTCCATGGCCTCATTGTCTGGGGGTTGGGAGGATACTTCTGTCAGGCTGAGAAAAAGATCCTGGCTGTTGGGGAGAACAGAGTGCTGGATGCTCTCCGTGAGCTCGTCCTCCTCCTCATCTTCCCCGTCCGCAGAATCCTCAGGCATGGCTGAGATTACCCCTGCCTCGGAATCCACGGTCAGAGGTGGGGTAGTGGTGGCGGCCCCCCCGAGAATTGCATGCAGCTCAGCGTAGAAGCAGCATGTCTGTGGCTCTGCCCCGGACCTTCCGTTTGCTTCTTTGGTTTTCTGGTAGGCTTGTCTGAGCTCCTTAACTTTCACACGGCACTGTAGTGAGTCCGTATTGTGGCCTCTCTCCATCCTGCCCTTGGAGATTTTTTCAAAAGTTTTGGCATTTCGTCTTTTGGAACGTAGTTCTGCTATCATTGAATCCTCTCCCTATATAGTGATCAGATCCAGTACCTCCTGTACGGTCCATGCTGGTGCTCTTTTTCCATTCTCGGACTGCATGGTTACCTGTGCTGATGAGCTCTGCGTGGTCACCTGTGCTCTCCACGCTGGGCAAACAGGAAATGAAATTCAAAAGTTCGCAGGGCTTTTCCTATCTACCTGGCCAGTGCATCCGAGTTCAGATTGCTGTCCAGAGCAGTCACAAGGGTGCACTGTGGGATAGCTCCCAGAGGCCAATACCTTCAAATTGCAGCCACACTAACCCTAATTCGAAATGGCAATACCGATTTCAGCGCTACTCCCCTTGTCGGGGAGGAGTACAGATATTGATATTAAGAGCCCTTTATATCGAAGTAAAGGGAATCGTTGTGTGGATGGGACCAGGGTTAATTCGGTTTAACGCTGCTAAATTCGTGATAAACTCCTAGTGTAGACCAGGCCTAAGTAACATGTCTGATATAGACAGAAGATTAGGAATTCAGTGTTCACATCCTATTTAGTTTACCCTCAATCAGTTTCTAGTTCAAGTTTGTGTGGTACATTATGTACACTATGAATACAGACTTCAAGCATAATTAAATTCAGTTTAAATTACTCAAACTTTCAAAAACTAATTATACCAAGATAAATGAAACAGATGATTTAACACAATTTGCTGTAAATACTACTGTACATTCTTTTTAGTACTGTACAAATGGCAGACATAAAACAATGCCGGTACAGGCAAACAATATATGTAGTCTGTGGTCTTCATTAAAATGGAGAATCTGCTTTACTATTTGTATTTGAAGGTACGCAATCAATGAATCCCAATAAAAATGTCTAAACAGGTAAATATGCAAACGCTACTGAAGAATATACAGGTGATAGATACAGTGGTAATTTTACATTGTGAATGATATTTTCAATAACTAGAATAAAACTCTAAATACCAAACACTGTTTGAGGCATTTTTGTGCATACCACCGCTCTCTGTGAGATTATGTATGGTCCTGAAGGATGTTTGACCTGCTTCATCTGCATCATTTGCAAGACCAATAAGTTCATAATCAGGGTCATAAAAAAATCTTAGGCTGAATTTTACACTTCATTTTTATCAGAACATGTTAAGGGGACATAGTAGTTTGGGCCCAAATTGTAGTCTACATTAAAACTGACTGATGGTGTAAATTCACACGATTATTTTAAATGCCCCTCTTACAATCAGGTTTGTTTTTTTTAAAATAACCAACATTTTTGTTGAGGTAACATGGCAAGCAGTAATACATATTTTTATGCTTCTAGTAATAAACAAGTTCAAATCTGTTTGGAAATGGGGGAAGCAAGAAAAATGTCTAAATTACTAAGAGGCTGTTTCAAAATAAAACGTCAGTTTTGTCACTAAGTTACAATTTCAGGTTGAATAAACTGTGTATAAATCTACATTTCTGAAGGCAAAAGCCCTGCGATCGCTGATCAGTGTTTCTCACTCTGGGCCATAGAACCTTGTCAGGCACAAAGTATCTTGCTTGGAGAAAGTTAGTTACTTTTCTCTTATTGTCATACCTATTTTCTCAGCTAGAGCCGTCTGCCTTACATCAGCTTTGTGAAGACTGCAAAGTCTTTTTGTGATTCAACCTAAAGAATTTTTTTAAAGCAATATTAACCACTGTCTGACTATACTGAATATCAGTGTTCATGGGGCAAACACTCACTATTAAAATAAACAAATGTTCAAGTCATAGTAGGTTTAAAATAATCTGTTATTATTATAAAGTTATCAAAATTCAACACTGATCATAGTGCTCATTAAAAAATATTGATGAAACCTCATTCTTGGTATTAGTAGTGGAGTTTTTTTATACCTATTCTACATTTGTCTCTAAGAGACTATTTAAAAGTCAAATTAAATGTAAATAAACATAATATTAGCTATAGTATGACTAGAAGTAAAGTGGCAGTGCTAGATGTACAGGATGTAACTGTTTTATCTTTGGTATGTGATAGATTTTAGATGTGTCAAGAATAATAACTGTGATAATGCAATTGCAGATTCTGTATTGTCTACCAGAAGCGTAAACTACTGGAAACATGGCCTTGCTGATATGACTAAGACAATAAAATACTGGTCTTTACATACAAAATCGCATTTGTTTTCTTTTGTTAAAATTCCTGTTAGAAACAATATTTCCAAATTTTTATTTTAAACTCTGAAGCAAACAGTTCATTTTGCAAATGGAAGCTGATCTCAGCATTTGAAAGCCATTTAAACTGGCAAGTTTCACAGCAAATCTCATCGCTTATTCTCCCTGCCTGGATTCTGATAGGTGTGGAGATGGGCCTATTAGTGCATACATTTTGCTGTCCTATATTGCAGAGCAACTTGAAAGTAAGTTATTTGAACTAAGTAGATCTGGCCTTCTATTTTAATATACTCAGAACACAATTACCACTACATAAAATAATGCAGCTATCTGAAGCCATTAAAGCAATTCTATAAAATACATATTTAGGCACCTAAAAAAGCAGCCAGATTTTCTAAAATGCTGAGTACCTAGAAATTCTGCTGACCTGAGTGAAAACATGGCTGTTTAATTTTAGACTCCTAATTTTGAAAATCTTGGCACAATATTTCTAAAGGAATCATTAGGGTTGACTAAGCAAGCAACTTTGAGCATCATGAAGTGCAGAGGAGGAGTTCATGTGTTGATGGGGACACAGGATGAGACATTCCCTAGAGTGGGCTGGGTATCCATATGAAGGAAAACACAGGAGTTTGCCCCAGGGTCTAGGTTTGTGGGACAGTTCTTTGAGGAAAAAAGGGGTGCTGCTGCTGCAGTTCCATAAATCCCAGGACAACAGATTCCTGGGGAGGTGGCAGGATGACCCCATACTTGCAGCAGACTGTTCAGAAATGAACCAGAGGGGTAGAGTGAGCAGAATACTGTTAATATATAATCTAAATAATTCTGGAATAAAAAAGGTGCGACAAAGACTCATTCTCAATTTAAAAACACCATATTGAAAACCCTCTAGAGATATTCTGCTGTTTTAATGGTGCCTAGTAATCAGGATGGTCCCATAAGCCTGAGTGATCCATTCTAAAACCCCATTTCCATGTTCTACAAAATTCAGTTTAGACACTTTCTACAGTGCAATTCAAACCAAGAGACCAGGACAAAGCAGTCAGTTTTTGACAGACCTATATTAACATGGGATCAGTGGCAAGTGAATGAAGTGTCTGTCAATAAATCCTGCCAAAATCTGATCATTTCACTTGAAGATACACCATGTACCGCAATCAAGTGTCTATATTTACAGATGTTAAAGTTAATTTTGTATAAAAAGAAGAGTTGTGTATCTTCTAGAATATGGATGTTCACATTTAGTATATTTAAGCAAATTCCAACATAAACATCTTCAAATTTAATAGGTTTGATATGACTCATCATTTCATAAATCTTCAGAGCCAGTTTTCCATCAAGTATATACCCCATTCCACTACAGTATGGAGGATATACCTTAAATGGATATTCATCATAAGAAATATGTGTTTTTCTGTAAAACCCTCTGTAGGAAAAGTTATCAATTAGAGGGTAACCAGTAAAAAAACTGTCTGAAGAATTTACATTTTGAAGAAACATTAATAAGTTGCCAGCGTTGATGAAAACATCAGAATCAGTCTTCATAACGTATTTAGTATTTGAACAAAACTCAGACACCCATCTGAATGCCATGATTGTTTTCAAGGTAAGATTGTTGTAAGTATCCATAAAATCTTGGCGAATTATGTCACCATACAGAATGCTTTCATCTTCTATCGATAATGCTAAGCTGTCTTCTCTTTCAGCTCCTTGTCCTAGTAAGAACAGTATTAGAACCTGACTGTCCCCCCAAGAGTTTTTAGAACCCCATGTTACTCTAATGGCCTGCCTTGCCTCTATATCCGTAGGTTGTGAAGACACCAAGATGACCAAAAATGGATTTGTATCTTTGCATTTCAAACGCTCCCGCAGTGTGAAGAGGAAGTTCTGCTTGTAAACTGGCTCATATTCATAGAAATACATCGAGTTCGTATGCTCTATCACAATATGCGAAGGGAGTGTCATGTACCATGTCATTATTATGACAGAAAGCATCAAGAGTGCCAAAAAACTCCATTTTAAGTATTTCATAGACATATTCACCAGAAGCAGCTACAAGATAGATGTGTGCAGCAGAACTTCAAGAGGCTTACAAAATCCTGGGTCACAACATTTGGGAGCCAGCTTCTTGCTGAAAGAAATGCAGATGGAAAAGGTTAGTACAGTAAGAATGCAATTGTACTCATTTTATTATCTGCCTAAAATTATAACTACAAAACGTAGCTTGATATCATGAGGTCAGAAAAGGAAAACTATACTGGCCCTGCTAAACACTGTTCTTTAGCCACCACTTATATCTTGAACACCACATTCTGATTATGATTGAAGTTTGCTGGTAACAAGAGGAGTGGTGACTGATCTTATTCATGGACAGCCTTCTCCTTGGGAGTCTTATCTACTAAAGGATGAAGTATAGAGCACCCTTAATTCCAGAGACAGTTGAGGGCTCTCAGCACATCTGCCCAGTGTCTTAGACTCATTTAAAGCTTGATGCTGGAGGGATGGTGACACACAAAAACAGATAACTAAAGTGTTTTTTTTAAATTACTGCTCAAAACCCATAATAGTTGGTAATTTCTTTTGATGGAAAGGAGGTAAATAATTGTATTACATTTGTAGTTATTGAGGTTTTTTTATGTAAGCAGGAAGTGACCAGGAGGATATAAACACAAAAAAAGACACAAACAAGTGCAGACAAATACGCTGTCTCATCCCATTTTTAGACCCAGCACAGCCTCATCTCCTCATGAACTGCTTGCTCTTGGCTGAATATGCTAGTGAAGAGTCAATCTCTATACAAGCAAACTAAACAAATATTAGAATTACAAGCCTACATCCATAAGTATTTCAGTGCTGAACACACAAAGAAATGGCTATTGCTTACAAAACAACTATACAATAAAAACAATTTGTTTAGTTATGCACATATTGAACTAGCCAACTACATAAAGGGAGAATCTACCCAATCCTGCCAGACAGCTTTGTCATTGACTTAAATAGGAGCAGGACTGGTCCATTGTAAAGTAGATCCGGTTCAAACCTTAAGGTTTGTGCCAGAAAAGTTTGCAAGCTTATCATGTAAACACATACACCTCTATAAAAAATACCCGTCCTCATGAAATAGATTTAAGTTTCAATGAAGAAAGGTTTTGTTCCTATTCAAATATTTCCCTGCAGTATCTCTAACCCCAATATTGCAAGATTGTGCCAGTGCATGAGAGCCAGAAAATGAAATGGACTAGTCCTTGTTCATAATTCAAGCTGCATGAAATGCAAATAATCATGAACAGTTGGCATAAATAGTGAAGAGTTAGTACAAGTGATTCAGCTAGTAACTTAAATGCTGATCCTGCAGACAAATCTATGCAGACATAGTAGAGCCTTGTGGATGCCACCCATATAAATCTGATTGCAGAATGTGATAACAGCAACACCTTTAAGGATTGTGTTTAAAAATAATTTCCTTAATCTAATATTGCCCCCTTAAGCAACATTTGTCCTTTACCATCTTCATTTAAAATTAGGTTAGCTGTAAACAGACATTACACTGTCAAGTAGTGACATAATCATTACTATTCTCCATGAAGGGAACAGGAACTCACATGAGGTACTTTCAAAAGACTTCCGTTGCTGTTTGTGGGAGTTCAAAGTTTAATCTGATGCTCAACACACCAAAATCTACCCCTGCACTGTAAAGTGGTCATAACAATAAAAAAAATAATTGTGTATGGGGGGAGAGATTTAATTTCACAGAATGATTGTGCTGTAACTGACTTTAAAAGTTCACTTCAGAAATTGTTTTTTAAGCACCAAAAAAAAAAAAAAAAAAGCCTATACACACATTACACACATGGAATTGCAGCATTGGTGTGAACTTTATCTCCCAACAGTTTGGCTGCCCAAGAGTCAAGATGTGGAACAAGATTTGGACCGAAGTTAGGTGATTTTTTACTGGGTATTTTTGGACCTTATCATGCATTACCTGCAACATAATAAAGCCACTTTGTGCTTGGCAGTTATTTACAGGAGAGACATTATGACAGAGAACTAGAAAAATATTGTCATTTCTTAGATCACTAATTATTGGGATGAAATCCTGGTAGTCCCTCTGATCTACTGCACATTTGTGGAGTTATTTGCTTCCCCTTCCTTCCTTCCCTCCCTCCCAAAACAGATGGCAAAAGCTGTTTAGTTTGGCTAGTTAGGAGCGCAGTCCTTGTGTACACAGATCTGCCTTTGAACTCAGCAGGAGTTTTGCCTATATGGAGAATGCAGGATCTGGCCCCATGACTAACCCTTCTGAACAGGGATATTTTTTCATTCACCTGTCTAACTTGTTCTCTCAAAATTGGATTTTTCCCATATGAAATAGTTTAGATCAGATTTAATTTCTTTATTTTGAAAGAATTAGTCTGTAAATGTATTTAAAGAAAAAATACAATTCAAATAGGATTTGAAGTCAATCTAGAAGAATTGGAAAAAGAAGAATTCCCTAGAAAGACTAAATATGAAATTCTTTCCCTGGCTCAAACTAATACCTAGACGCATAGGACATTTCATGAAAAGCCACTTAAATTACTGTATTTGTTCACCGCTAGGAGTAAGAATATTTAAAAAGTGAATCTGGAGTTGAAGTTTGGCAGGGGGAGAAAGAAACAATGGCAGAAATACATGAGAAAAATATAGGGGAGTCTGCCCAGACTGTAAACTAGTTAGGGTACCCAATTACCATACTGACAGAAGATTCCCACCCCCCTCCCATACATAGTCAACCTGCGGGGGGTGGGGAGGGGGAATGTTTCCCTCTAGTCATACTTGATTTCCTGAAGGACACAGATCACCAATAGATAATGTATAAGGCATCCTTTGAAAGATGCTAGCTCATAATGATTACTAGAGAGACAAGGGGGGGTGAGGTAATATCTTTTATTAGACGAACTTCTGTTGGTGAAAGACAAGTTTTTGAGCTACAAAGAGCTCTTCCTCAGACTTTTAATTCAGATACCAAGTAGTTTTTTGACATCTTGTTACAATGTATCTTTTGAAAGTGTTGAACAATCTTGAGTAATTTTTTTCAAACAACGTCCCATGTATTTATAGACTTACAAAGAAAGTCTAAAACAGGGGTTGGCAACCTTTCAGAAGTGGTGTGCCGAGTCTTCATTTATTCACTCTAATTTAAGTTTTTGCGTGCCAGTAATACATTTTAACGTTTTTAGAAGATCTCTTTCTATAAGTCTATAATATATAACTAAACTATTGTTGTATGTAAAGTAAATAAGGTTTTTAAAATGTTTAAGAAGCTTCATTTAAAATTAAATTAAAATGCAGAGCCCCCCGGACCAGTGGCCAGGACCCGGGCAGTGTGAGTGGCACCGAAAATCGCTTGCATGCTGCCTTTGGCACGCGTGCCATAGGTTGCCTACTCCTGGTCTAAAAGCTTAGCTTACTAAAAAAGAAATCTACTGCCCCCTTCTGATATTAAACCAAAACAGACTTAGACTGCTTTATTTAAAAGACAACTGTGATATAAAGATTTTATCACTCTGCACTGCGCTTTACCCTCATTCAGATGAGAACACAGCCCAGAATACAAAATATAACTGGACACTTAACTAGTTTTCAGCCCAACATGTATTTTTTGTAAAAACAAAACAAAAAAAATGTTAACTCAGAAAAATATTAAAATATATTGATAAATCTTTAATAATCCGATTAATCGAACCTGAGACTATAAACACTATAATAGTATTAATCATAATCCACTGGTATTGTGCAGCCTCACTACAGGGCACAGTTAAGGTTGTTTGCGTGCTTTAACCATGCATTGCTATACCTTAATATGTTTGAATTTCTCTTAAACGTAACCTTAAATCTGAATTCCTGGGTTTGTAATACCTGAAGTGTTTTTTACTTAAGTTACTGATATGTGCTTTCAACTTTACCTTCATTTCAATATATTTTTGTCTTGGAATTTCCTTTATAGTGAAGTAGTGCAAGCATCCCAACCTACTTCAGCATATTCCACTTTTGAAATCGTACCACAGTTCTGCTTACAGTGAAGTTATCCCAGGGAAACGGGGGGCGGAGGGGATGGGGGGCGCAAAAGAAGGGGAGAGAAGTGACACTACTCACTATTAAAAGAATTCTAGTATTTTTTTAATACATATTTTTGTGTACTATCACTTTTAGGATAGTCTGGTCAAGCCATAATGTCCCAATAACTGCATGCAATATTAAAAGGCTTCAACACATACAAAACTGTGTCGCTGCAATTCAGCATGTGCTTCTGTGTGCATTATTTAGGTGCTTACATAATATGAGTATTTTTGAAAGAAATTCTAATGTGTTATGGAAAGATATTTTGAATCTCCAATTTTGCAAATTAGAAATTGTCTATGTATACTTTGCTTTCATATTACAGCAGTCTAACTTTCCAATTAAAAATTACTTTGGTATAATGATATGTTTCAGAGCACTAAAGAAAGAGAATGTTTACCTGTCAACTATATTGCTGCTGTTTGTAGCATTCCTTCATCCTCTTATTCATCTACTATACAGGAAAAGTTTCTGTGAACATTTCTCTTCTGATGGTGCCCTGGAGATGTTGTCAAAGTATGTTGCTGTTAGACCTCACTGTCTAAGAGATTTAAAATCTTTTACTTCATTATGAAAGAGGAAAATATTGAATTCCACTGCAGACCTAAAACCAAAAAACCCTAGGATTTCCCCCTCCCCCCAAAAAAACCACAGATGAAATTAATCAAATACAGCAAGGGAATGCAGCTCATAGCACCAAGAATCCTGATCCCCTTACTCAAAACTCCAATGAAGTCAATGAGATTTTCCACCAAGCAAGGAAAACAGGAATTAGCCCTAAGAAGCAGAACAAACTGAGGAAGCTATGGTGAAAAAGGCAGTTACCAAAGATATTTTTATGCTGTTACGTTTCTTAGTAACAGATGCTCTTACTGCTGGGCCTCAGAGGACATCAGGAAACCTCTTAGGAAATGTCATATCCCAACTAGCAATTCCTCCTTCTATGAACAGGAAGAGCCAAGCATGTCTTATCCTGAAAGGAAAGACTAGTGTCAGTCAGTAAACAAAGTAAAGCTTCCACCATAACATCACAAACTACCAAGCAGCATGTAACTCAAGCTATCGGAGTAACACACTGCCATGCACAGCAATGCCATTCAACAGAAAATACATATGAATCCCATTCCAGAATACAGACTACAGGTCTGATTCTATTCTCACTGCAGTCAATGGGAGTCTTGCGATCAACTATAATGGGAGCAGGACTAACCCTATCCATTCTGTTTCTACTGCTTGGATGCTTTACAGATAATGTAAGAATTTGAGGAAGATAGCAGCACAGAGAGTAGAAGATATGAGCTAGCAATCTGAAATGTAGACGCACACATACCCCTCAGCTGATCCATTCTCTCACAGTAGTCTCCCAAAGTTGACATGGAATTGCACACAATATAATCATTAACATAATGATAGTTATGCTACAGCAGTGGCAGTGTTAATAAAGCTCGATGTGCAAAAATCGCTACCTCAATATGATTAGAAATGGTATCCTTGGAAAGCACTTTAAAAAAAGATGAAATATGCCCATCTGCACCATACAAAAGATTAGGTATTCCCAAATAAATAAGTTCTAATGTGTTCAGTTTTGAACTACTGCTAATAAGCAGGGATCCTAGAAATCTGCCACAGAAAAACACGGAATTTGTTTTTACAGAGAATCTTCAGTTTTTACATTTTGTGAAAAAATAAAAACATACACAGTGAAACCCTGATTTAGTCGATCTAATTGAGATTGGGGACAAATCGGATAATTAAAAATTCTAATAATCAGAAGAATGGGCAAAGAGCTTTCTATCCCTTATTTTAAGATGGGGGGCTTGGACAGTCAGCCTCGGGCAGCTGGTGGTTCAGCTAATACGAGTTGGATAATGGGAGGGTTGGATAAACATTGTGTTCAACTGATTTCTGTATATATTGTGGCTAGGGAAACTAAAGTTCAGTGTTTCATTTTAATTGCAGAAAGACAGATATTTATGGATTTTAACAGAGCATTTGAGGAGTGAGGGGTTCCACAGAAAACGGATTCCTGCTAATAAGTAATGGTATGGCATTACCAAACTAATCAGATTCACTACATCTTGGGAAGTTCAGTCACTCTTCCTATTTACAGCAAGATCTTATTCAGTCTTCTCTTCTATGGACGTTACAGTTCATACAGAATTTCTCCTTGCCCACCTCATAAGGTGTACTATATGCCTGGATGTTCCCTTTCACTTCAGAGGCAGTTGCTTTTCACTGACACTGTGTGTATCATTTAATGTAGTTATAAGAAATGTAAAATCATATTTTAGAAGGAGAACCTGGTTTATTCCCCTATCTAAAAGGGAGTGCATGTAGGCAATCATGGTTGGATGTCAGTGACATGTTCTCCTTCCATGTGATAAAACCACTGCCTGGATCCAACCCTGGATCCAGACTCAGGATGCTGGAAATGCATGTACCCTTCTCCTCCTAAAAAAATGCAAACAGGGGCTCCAGGATAGGATTGATATATTGAGTATTATGTCATGACAGCAATTTGGACCCTCACCTTAAACTGGCACAACAGTATTAGCAACACCAAATGTTCAAAAATCATGAGATTTTTAAAAAATTAAGTTTACAGTACTATTTGTTTGCCTTCTAGTTTTGGAGCCTTTTCAAGCTTTTGTTCACAAGTACAAGGGCTAGAAACTTATTTTTTAAATGACAGCTGAGATTCTCATGTGATCACATGAAACTAGGTACTTTTAAAAAAAAAAAAACCAAATATCACAAGCTTGTTGTAAGTCACAACGAGCTAGACCATGGATCCCTACTAGCTCGTCCAAGGAACATATGTGGAACATCCCCAAACCTACCATTGTGATGTTAATTCCAGTTTACTCTCACCACCAGTGACAGATGGGGAGGGGAAGACAGTTTTCATGGCCTAGCATGGGAGTGATCTGCTGCTGCTTTTGGTAATGATGTGATGGAGGATGACTCCATCTCCTCTTCTTCCCTAAAGGAGTAGAAATGCAGAAGTAGGAGCATCTAAACAAACACCCTCACTTGTTTCCTCTTCACACCCTATCCTGGCTTAAATACACACCATTCAGAAGCCACAAATGTTATCAACCCTGCAATCAAGTCTACACAACCTCTGAGACTAGGGTGACCAGACAGCAAGTGTGAAAAATCAGGACAGGGGATGGGGGCAGGGGGTAATAGGACCCTATATAAGAAAAAGCCCCAAATATCGGGACTGTCCCTATAAAATCGGGACATCTGGTCACCCTGAGACTCCTCCTTTCTTTCCTTCTTCAGAGAGTTACGAAGGGACAACATGGAACGGGCTTGCTTCAGGAGAAAGAAGAAGCTGCAACAGAGCTACCGGTCTCTCTCTATATTAGCAACCTGGAAACTACCTTGTGTGCAAGCACTCAATGGCAAAACCATACCAGCACAGAAACACATCATCCACTCTAAAATTTAACCCCACCAATGCTCGAGGGCACACAACCCCTATACCAAAGCTAAAGGCCAGCAACACTCAAGAGCAGAGTCAGAAACTGCTACCTGTAGCAAAAGCTGACATGAGGCAAAATTTGCTACCGTCATTCTCCTGGTCCAGAAGCAGCAAATTATAATAGGAGGATTGTCCTTGTCAGAATTTGCTGCTCCTCACTTTTCCCCATCCTTGTGATGTCAGTTTTGAATAAAATTTGACTTAATGCTGCCCTGTGGATATAGCAATAGCTACTGGCAATGCTTCAGTAGCTGTGCTGCCATAATAAGCAGACATGACGCACAACTAAGAGACTGGGCCACTGTTTGTGTTGTGTTCTACAGATTCAAATTCCAGCACTTATCTGCATGCACTCCAGCTGCCATTAATTGTGTTAGATTTAACTTCATTGAATTGCAGAGCTGTGTCTGTGATATAAGAGATGCATATGTACCTTGAGGGATCAAATATGTCTCATTTCAGCACGGAGTTCTGCACGTTTTGTCAGTCTGGGATAGTTTGTGTGGAGTAGGCTCAGGGTCTAAGTGTGAGTAGCTCCAGTTTGTGGAGCTGTTTAGAGGGAGAGGGATAGCTCAGTGGTTTGAGCATTGGCCTGCTAAACCCAGGGTTGTGAGTTCAGTCTTTGAGGGGGCCACTTAGGGATCTGGGGCAAAATCAGTACTTGGTCCTGCTAGTGAAGGCAGGGGCTGGACTCAATGACCTTTCAAGGTCCCTTCCAGTTCTAGGAGATGGGATATCTCCATTAATAAAAAAAAAAACTAAGCCCAAGTTTTGCTGTAGCAAAGAGAAAGAGTTAAACTGTTATATAATGCTCATGTGCTGCATTCCCAAAGTGTGCTGCACACTTATTTATCACTAAGGATAAAGTGATAGTATGTGTGTTATTGGGGCATTGCTAAAAGGGAGGAAAGTTAAGGTCACATTGCAAGGGTGGCACATACCTTAATTTTGTACTTCCTGTTTTTTAGAGGTTTAAGTTTAGCTGCTCTCTGCACTCTGGAAGGGCGTGAAGCAGCACTGGGCAATCTTCACTCTGAATTAACAAAGTTTTTAGGCAGTTAATTTCCTTGGATTTGGTTTTATTTTTCCTTTTTAAATATATAATTTCTCAGCATCTCCATAACCCAGCTCTCCCTCTCCACGGCCTCTGACTACTTGGCAATGATTACCACAATCACCGAAAACAGTGTTGCATATTAATTCCTTTACTGCCAAACATCATCTCCCCAGCTCAGGGGTCTCCTGTCTCTCTGCCTGTTCAGCAGGTTGGTCTTACCTGCTCCCCATGCCAGGACAGACAGCAGCAGAGGTCCTGCAAGTTAAGAAGCTGAGTAGAGGATGCAAGAACAGTGCAGGACCTAACATGGAGTCAGGCCTATTTTTTGAAGGAAAATAAATATGGAGGGCATGTATGGACCCCTCCTATGCACCCCATACTTCCCTGCACAACTCTGACCTCCCCTCTTCTTTTAGCAGCAGCAGCACGGGGAAGGGCAAGTCTGGAGCACCTTCCTCACTGCAGGAGGCAGCATGATTTAACCTTAATGATTTTTTTCCTTACATTTTTACCTGTAATATGAAGTTGCTCTAAGACAATTATTCATTGGAAACATCCAGTCTTATTTATATAGTCAATTATATAGGAAATATATAAAAAATTTCATCTGTAATACGAAGCAATTTGTCTAAGGGAGGATAAATTACTATAATTGTAAATCATTGGTTGACAACTTTTTCATCTCAAAGTATTCATTATTTAGCTTAATTTTTCCACATTAACATGTTGTTATGGTGCGGCTATACTGTTGCAGCGCCAATAAAATATTAATCTTGTCTAATCACTCAGTAAGGCCTATTTTTGCATCTATGTTTTATACACCCACAATAGACAAATCAGTGAAAACTCCTAGTGAAGATATGCTGCAGCAGTGTAATCTTGATCTGCTGTAGTTCACAGCCTGCCTGTTTTTAAAGGTCGTGATTATCCACAGTGCATTACAAAGACACTAGAAGTTTGCAATGTTGCTGCTACATTGGCACAGGTAAACCATTTGAACAGGAAAAAGAAGTGGAACTGGAGCTATGACGTTGTGATACCATGCATAACTTAGTTACAGGTAAGCAATGACATGCATCTGAATGGAGTTAATCAAGGGAAGGGATGGTGCGCTAAGGAGAATTAGTAATAAAATACCATTTTAAAACCAAATAAGTAAAATAAATAGTAAGATGCAACACTTACAGTGGGTAATAGGAAATGGAGTCCCATGCAGGTACACCGTATGGTAGCTAAGCCAAACCTGGCACTGCTGTAAGGCTCCCTACAGACACATTATGCCTGCGGAGGCATTCAGGCATTCTCCTCACACAAACCCAGGCAGAGTTGTGACCAGTTTTAGGGCGGTGGACATGTCAGATGTGTCAGGGAACCAACTTTCTTTTGGCCACTCAGTACCTCGTTTCAGACGGACAAGAGCTGCAACACCTCGGCATAGGGCTACCCCGCACTTCTAAGGTCACAACCCTGGGGCAGAGGTGCTGAGGTGGCACAGCCAGCCAGGAGCACCTGCCCCTCTAGCAACCACTGCAGGTGGCTCACGCCATCCATGGTAACGTCAAACAACTCTGCAGGTTTCCCCTCCCTGCCACCATCTCCCCCATTGTTACCCCCAGCTCCTGCCCCCTCCTTCCAGCCTGGGGGCAAGTTGCACCCATCCCCCGCCCTCCTTCTCGCCCCTTCGCCCCCTTCATAGTAGGGTTACCAGATGTCCCAACTTTATAGGGACAGTTTTTTGGGTCTTTTTCTTATATAGGCTCCTATTACCCCCCCACCCCCTGTCCCGATTCTTCACACCTGCTGTCTGGTCACCCTACTCCATAGCAGCAGCTGTTCTCAGGGCCAGTAAGGGGAGGCTTGAGCAGACGTTACTGAGCATGCGCAGTAACCTTCCAGGGAATAACGATCCTGACACCACGCTAACCGGAGCGGGGGTGACGGCGCAACCCCCCCAGCGCTCACACGGCCCAATCCGCACGCGCCGCCAGCTGCCACCCGCGCTCAAGGGCGGGTGAGCCCCCAGCCCTCATCCCCCTCCTAAGAAGCTGATCCCTTGGGCTACTCACATGCCTGTACCCCGCCTTCGGGCCGGTCGCAGGCCGCACCCCCGCGCATGGGCGGTGGATAAACGCCCCGCCCCCTTCTGGGCCGCTGGCCCGCCCCTTCCGCCCGAAGCCCCGCCCGCCGGAGCGGAAGGAGCCCCCTACCTCCCCCAACGCGGCGCCGGGCCGAGCCGAGCCGCTGGCTCCTCCCACTTCCCACCTCCGCCCGGCCCAGCTGGTTAGGCAACAGCTAGCTGGGGAATAGGAGACGCTCAGTGGCACTCAAGTGTTGGACGTAGATGCCTAACTCTGTTCCAGTGCGGACCTACCCCGTAGAGCTTACTAGCCTGCATAGCTCCACTGCCTTTATTTCCAGCCCCCGGTGTGACTTAATACGAGTATGACATTGCCTTCTGTTAGTAAGCACTCCTCCTGAGAGACGGCTTAGTCCCAGAGTTAGAGTGCTCACAGGTGTGTTTTATACTCAACTGTGTTGCCGTCTTAAAGAAAAACCTTGGATCCTATTTACCAAAATCCCCCATCTCACGGCTAAAACAATAGAGAGGTCTGAACAAAGGCCCAGATCCAAACATTGAGTCACTTGGATTCACATCTGGTTCTCAGTTTTGCAACTGCCTCCTATCTCTTTGTGTACAGCACTATCTGTTTAATGGGCTTAACCACATTTCTGAATATGAAGACCCTCAAATTTGCTGGAAATTTGGCTCACAGCCAAACTTTACATCTTGGACTTATAGCTAAAAGGACAACATCAAGGTACTTGTCATCTTTTAATAAATGTTGCTTATAGCTAAAGGCAATTAAGCAGACCTAAAAAGCCCTAAGTGGCCTAGGAACTATAGGCTAGATTCACAAAAGGCCCTAGATCAGTGGTGGGCAACCTGCGGCCCGCCAAGGTAATCCGCTCGTGGGCCATGAGACAGTTTGTTTACATTGACTGTCCCTCAGGCACAGCCGCCCGCAGCTCCCAGTAGCTGCAGTTCCCCGTTCCCAGCCAATGGATGCTTAAATGGCAGCCACCTACTTTGTCCACTGCTTGCACAAAGAGCAGCCCATTGCAGCTAGCTGGTGGGGGGCTTGGAACCAGGGTGGACCAGCAGACCCCCTCATCAGCTCCCCACTCCCCTAAGTTTCCTGTGCAGCAGCCGCCCAGCAGGCTATCAATTGCCTGCAGTTCAGCTGTCCCTCCTCCCACTGCCAAGTGCCGCTCCTGCCCTCTGCCTTGGAGCTGCTCCCGGAAGCCTCCTGCTTGCTGGGGGGGGGAAGAGGAGGGTCCAATGTCAGGGTGTCTCCCTCCCCCTGCTCCTGCCCCCCGCTTACCCCTTCTCTATAGAGCTGGGTGGGGGACACGACAGGGCTCAGGATGGAGGGAGCTTGCCGGCAGCAGCTGCTGTCTCAGCTTGCTGATCTACTTAAAAAGGCAATGCACTTAGAGTGGGGTCAGGATACTTAAAGGGGCAATGCACATCTCTCTCTCACACATGGTGTGTCTCTGTTTCTCTGTCTCTGTCTGCCATGCTGTCTCCCCTCCCTCCATTTGTGCTGCCTTGTAGAGTGTGAGGCTATGTTAACAACAATGTATTAACCCTTGATGGCTCAGCCAAGTGCTAGTTCATCATTTAGCATTAAGGCATTCCCTGGGAAATATCCCACCCTCTTCCACCCTCTGACTTCACCACCTCAACCAAGCTTCACAATCATCATTGCTGTGTACAGTATTAAATTGTTTGTTTAAAACTTATACTGTGTATATAGACTATATATAAAATATAGTCTTTTGTCTGGTGAAAAAACTTTCTCTGGAACCTAACCCCCTCCCCCCCATTTACAGTAATTCTTATGGGGAAATTGGATTTGTTTAACATCACTTCACTTAAAGTTGCATTTTTCAGGAACATAACTACAACGTTAAGTGAGGAGTTACTGTACCGGAGTCGACAGGAGAGCACTCAGCAGTTGATTTATCGCCTCTTCACTAAAGGCGATAAATCGATCCCTGTTGGATCGATTGCTCCGGAGGTAAGTGTAGACATGCCCTAAGTTTCTGTCTCACTGTGCTTTAGTGAATTCTCCTCTGCTTACTAGATGTTTTCTATGAAGGCCCCTTCACTTTAAATTCACTGCCCACCTACAAAGCTCTCTCTAGGTTTTGAAGAGGGATGAGCATTATGACAGCGGTTAGTGGTGGAAGAGGGAGCAATTTCTTTCAATCTTTATTTTGGCTGCCTGTTGACAGGGGTCTGGCATAATCACTGGAGTAAGGATGATAATAAAAGGAGCTGTAATAACAAGTGTATTTAAAATTATATCTAGAGCAATGGATAGGTCCTTTTCATGTTAATGAATCAAAATAAATTAATCATATGTAACATTTTAGGACTATCACCTTGAGTGGCTCTATAATTTCAAAGAAATTATGAGGAAAACCTCGGACTTGCTTTGTCTATTAGGGCCTGAGAATCAAAGTTTTATTTATTTGAAAGTAGTAAGACACCACAAAATTGTTTAATTCTAAATGGAAACATAGGCCTTATCCTCTGAAGTGTTGACACCTTCTGAAAGGTAGTGGGAACCCTAATATCTACAACAGACTTCATAACTGAGGGTGCTCGGCACATTACAAGACCAGGCTCAGAGTTATCTGAAAAGGGTGTAGCCCAAGCTTTGGAATTTTCTATGTAAATAATAATTAGCTTTGGGCCAAGGAGGTGGTATTTGCATTGAACATAGACTGCTCGTCAATATGCAGCTATCCTATGGCTAGGATTTGGGTTTGCATTTGACAGCACCAAAATCTCACAAACTGTTCTTGAGAGATTTCTGTCACCTTGGCCTGCATCTGAACCAGATTTGGAAAATAGGCTCTGTCGAGTTTTGAGATTGCAGTTGAGTCCCAATTCCATAATAATGAAAACACTGAACATTTGTAAAAGAAAACTAGTAATTCTGTATTGTATGTTACTTAGGTGGAGATAAATGGTAACCCTAACTAATAATACTTCTGGGTGTTCTATATAGTTTTAAATTGTTGCGACATTTAAAAGAGCCCCGGGGAAGATCACTGAAGTCAATCAGAATTATACCAGGCTTGATCCCTATGTAGAACGACAGAAAGTTCTGGAAAACTATGAGTGTCATACTGTTTAGAAACAATTAGTCTTTCTTGATTTCCCTTCTCTCCCCTCCTCCCACCTCGTTCCATTGCCTAGCATATTGGTGCAAAAACAAAATCTTTATTTGTTGTAACATCACAACTTGTTGCTGTGGGTGTGATTACACAGAAACAAACAGAAGATTATGATTTCAGGCAAAGCTGCATCTTATCAAGGGCTGTATCAGAAGTATGTATGCTGACTCTGAAAGGCAGAGCACCTTTATAAACAATTAGACACAAACATAACAGATTTGCTGTTTGTGACTATAACTTCCTCACCAACCAACGCTGATGTTACAATCAAAGATGATGCCTTCAGGTAATGAATAAGCAGGAGGAGCAAATTACTCTGAACTAAAAATATGTTTCTTGAGGCCAGAAGTGGCCAAAATATGGCCCGCGGGCCACATCCGGCCCTCAGGACCGTCCTGCCTGGCCCTTGAGCTCCCAGCTGGGGAGGCTAGCCCTGGCCCCTCCCCCGCTGTCTCCCCTCCCCCGCAGCCATGCCGCTGCGCAGGCAGTGTGCTGGGCAGCTGGGTTGCACGCTCCTGCCAGGCAGCGCAGCAGCGTGTCTAGCTCCAACCGGGCACCGCGGCTACCAGACATGCTGTTCTGAGCAGCATAGTAAGGGGTCCAGAGCCGGGGGTTGGATAAGGGGCGGAGGGTCCCGGGGGGCAGTCAGGGGACAGGGAGCAAGGGGCAGTTGGATGGGGCGGAGGTTCTGGGGGGGCAATCAGGGGATGGGGGGTGTGGATAGGGGTCAGGGAACGGGGGGGGTTGGATAGGTGTAGGGTCCTGGGGGGGCCCGTCAAGGGGCGGGGGTGTGGATAGGGGTCAGAGCAGTAAGGGGACTGGGAGCAGGGGAGTTGGATGGAGGTGAGGTCCCGGGGGCAGTTAGGGGACAAGGAGCAGGGGGCGGGTTGGATGGGTCGAGGGTTCTGAGGGGGGCAGTCAAGGGGCGGGAAGTGGGAGGGGTCGGATGGGGGCGGGGGCTAGGCTGTGTGGGGAGGCACAGCCTTCCCTACTCTTCCCTACCTCCATACAGTTTTGCAACCCCAATGTGGCCCTCGGGCCAAAATGTTTCCCCACCCCTGCTTTAGGCTATTATGGTTTGAATTGGTCAACATAGCCTGATAAATTATATTAGAAACCAATTTAGGTGAAACAGTGTGTAAAAGAGTTGACGCACATCCATACTGATTTTAAAGGTCAGTGCAGTTAGGGCCTGAAAATCCTCTGTAAAGTGCTTTCCTTGTAATAACTATTAATAATATCACAGATATAACACTTTCTGGCTCTTCTTTTGACTTGCCAAGTACCTACAACTCTTATTAACATTAGTGAGAGTTGTGAGTGCTGAGCACTGTTGAAAATCAAGCCATAAACATTCAATGTGCCATACAAACATTAACTAGTTAGTCAGTGTATTTGTTGAACTTATAACCCTCATTGTCTGTGATTATCACTCATTGTATGTCTTATTCTAGATCATGGGACAACTCAAATAAGAAGGGTTTGCATGATCAGACCAGGAACTTTGTCATCTTGTACTTTTGTAATGATCAAAAATTCATGCAGCACTCCCACCCTCCCATGAGGTAAGTAAGTAAGAATTATTATCCATGTTTCCAGAAAGGGAAGTTGAGGTAGAGTGGTTAAGTGTTTTTTCTCATGGCCACACAGTGAGACAGGATTAGAACTCCAAAATTGGTGATTTCCAAGCACATGCCCTGTGTGTTGTTCAGGGCTGGCTCCCGGTTTTTTGCCGCCCCAAGCGGCGAAGGAAAAAAAAAGAAAAAAAAGAAAAAGCCGCGATTGGCGGCACTTCGGCAGCAGCTCTACTGCACTGCTTCATTCTTCGGTGGCAATTCAGCGGCCGGTCTTTCCGTCCGAGAGGGACTGAGGGACCCACCGTCGAATTGCTGCTGAAGACCCGGACATGCCGCCCCTTTCCATTGGCCGCCCCAAGCACCTGCTTCCTGCGCTGGTGCTTGAAGCCGGCCCTGGTGTTGTTACAAATCCACTGCCTGTTCAGTGTCTAGAGCACTGTTATATGTGGTTATACTCTCTTATAATGTATAAATAGCCCAAAAACCACAAGAGCAGGCTTTTTATGTAAATATGGCATTGCCACTGTTCAGTATGTTCAGAAATACTGTAACCTTTGGGCTCCGTGACTTATTGTTATATTCTCGTGTCTGCTCCACCCATAGGCTAGGCAGTGAACATTACACCTTCATAAAATACTGTTTGCTTATTATCAAGTTGATAAGGACTCTATATAAATACACAAAGGCTTATTCTTTCTTCATAGCACAAAGCCTCTTCTTCCACTTCCTCTTCTTTTACTTTTTTGCTTCATCTTATGGAGAAAGAAGGGCTTTCTGACAAAAATCACCCTGATAGAAGAAATAACATCTTTAAGACATAATACAGATAATTACAGCAAGAATGGGTCTGCTGAGTTCCAAACACTCCAAAGTCAAACCGGCTAAGATATTAATGCTGGGACTTGATTCAGCCGGGAAATCTACACTATTGTACAAGTTAAAGTTTAATGATGTTTTCCTAACACTCCCAACAATCGGTTTTAACGTGGAGATGATTGAAACAGGGCAAAATATTGCTATAACAATCTGGGATGTTGGAGGGCAACAGAAAATGAGGACATTTTGGTGCAATTACTTTGAAAATGCAGATGGCCTGGTGTACGTTGTGGACAGCACTGATAAGCAACGTCTGGAAGATTCAAAGAAAGAATTTGAACTCCTCTTAAAGAATGAATTTGTAAAGAATGTGCCTATTGTTTTGCTAGCTAACAAGCAGGATCTTCCTGGAGCTTTGAACGCTGAGGAAATAACCAGGAAATTCAACATGCAGAAACATTGCAGTGATAGAAATTGGTATGTACAGCCTTGTTGTGCGATCTCTGGGGAAGGTCTGGCAGAAGCATTCCAGAGAATAATAGCATTTGCAAAAAACTGCAAACAATCCAGAGAAGAAGCTTTTACAATTTTCAAGCACGATGAAAAGTTGTAAGAGTCTTCATTATCCCAATCTGTGGAAAGCTAACATGGAGAGTTTATTATGGGAATTAAATCTACATATTGAATTCTGCAAATCTTTTAAAAGACTATTATATAGCAAAATGTAGTCAGAGCAAGCTAAATTACTATGTTGTTACATTTGCATACTCTTTCAGAGCTACTGTTTCACAGCATTTTAATTAAATGACAGATTTGTATTCTAAGTCCAGATATTTGGCAGTGTTAAACTGCATGATGTAATAGTAAAAAGGTGCATTTAAACATTTTAAATATTCTACAATCATTTTATTTATGCTTGTTTAATTACACAAAATGTACAAGAGCTGAGATAAATGGCACATTGAGGAAGCAAAGAAAAAGTAAAAAACATTATTTCATATTACATAACATACTGTATTTGTAAGTGCTTTGTGAATATGTTTATTATACAGACATATATAAATTCTTACACTAGAAAGTAATTTTGATAGCTAATTTATTTTAGCTGTTTTATCATTTTACCAATACTTAAAAGAAAAAGGCTTTCTCTTTTCAATTATATACAAGAGAAACTGCGTACTTGGAACAGAAGCATTAACATTACTGCTTTCTCAGGAACCTGTCCTGTTCACACTGATTTCAGTTAGAGCAGGATCAGACCCTCAAAACCCATAGAATGATCTCACCAAGCTGATTCTGTTTTCTGTGGGTTTTGTGTGTATTTTATATCACTTTCAATCATGATTAGGGCTGGTGTTTTCCAGAAATTGCCAATATTGCTGTGTTTTTTCCCAAAATTACCTTTCATTTCCAGAATTGCCAATTCCAGAGGCAAAGCGTGCCCTCCCAGATTTCTGCCAGGGTTTATATCTGCTGACTGCTCCCCTAGGCGCAGGGCAGAGGTTGGGGGCTGGCTGTTGTATGAGACTCGCCACCAACTTCTCCTCTCCTCACACAGGCCTGGGCACAGCAATACCATTGTGGAGCTTCCCCTGGGAGGGCAAGGCACTTGGGCTCCCTCGTCATGCTGCACAGTGGACAGTGCTTGCACCTTTTCTTGACAGCGTCCACAGCGCCTCTCCCCTGCTCACCTGCCCTGCACACAGCTGGCTCCTGCCCCCTCCCTCCAGCACGCAGTTGGTCTGGCTCTAGCCCTCAGTGTCTGTCCCCCCTTCCCTGCACACAGCTGGATCTAGCTTTCAGTGCCAATCATCTGTCCCTCACCTTGCCTGCACAGCGGGCTCCTGCCCCCTCCTCCCTGCACACAGCTGGCTCTAGGCTCTTAGTGACCAGGTCCTCATCTCCACCTTCCCTAATCCCTGCACACAGCTGGCTCCTGCCCTTCCTCCCAGTACACAGCTGGTTGTAGGTGCCCAGCTCATATCTCGCTTCTGTACACATCTGGACTTTGCCCCAGCTACCTGCAGGCTCAGTGCCGTTCCCTCACAGCTAGAGCCTCTTCCTGACCCTCCTGCAGCCAGTGGGCTCTAAGCCTTTACTGCCAGTGCCTACATCTCCTTCCCCCCTTTTCTCCCATAACAGAGTTGGTGCTGGGCTCTCCATGTTCCACAGCAGTCACTCCCCACCTGCCTATTCCAGAAAGCAACTCAGGTTCAGCCGCTGTCTCCCTTCTTCACTTGTCTCCCTCAGGCACTGGCTTCTTACCTGCCCAGAACTCTCCTTGACACCAGCTGCAGCAGCCTTTCCCTTGGGTCCTAAAGCCTGACAAGTTGCGTGCTCGTCTAAAACTGTCTCCATCTGCTATTACATAGTATTGTAAAACATGACATCAAAAGTAGCTCTAGAAATCAAAACTCCTTTATCTCTTAGGTACCTGGGCTGAACCCCGCTGCATGCCACCAGAACCTTTAAATTGTGCCCCCTCTCCCACTATCAAGAGTTATGTGTTGCCTCTAGCCAATTCCTTTCAATTTTCCACCTTCTGCTTCGGCCATTTGAAGCCATTTACTACCCATGCATAAAATTGTTAAGCCTGAGGATAGAGTTAAAGAATTCGGCAAAGATGTTCTCCATGTGAATGGAGGGAAGTTATTTTGTACAATTTGCATCAAATTTCTTGACCATGTTAAAAAGGATCACATAGTCAACCACATGAAAGGTCCACATCATGTTGCAGCAATGGAAAAAAGAAAATGAAGGGCAGAGAGCAATGATGTGACAGCAGCAAAGCAATAGCTCATAATTAATGGTGTGCTTGCATGACAAAATGAAAATCAGAAATACGGGGAAAAGATAGTACAAGACGGGGTGGAGGCCTGTTGCAGTGCAAACATCCCACTAACAAAAACAGACAATCCCAAAATGCGAGAATTCCTAAACAAGCATGACCACTCAGACATGCTCATTTCAGACACTACCTTGTCAACCATGGAGTTGAAAGCCCAACATTACCTCTAGAACTGGTTGTAACAAGATGTAATAGTTGGTTTAAAGTCATAGATTAACTCTGCCATCATGTGGAGTACTACAGGGGTTTGTTGCTCAAGAAATCAAAGTGGAGGACATGACTGCCATTTTAGAGGAACTAAGTGCTTTACTGCAGAGTGAATCACTTTTAGCAGATTAATTTTTATTCAAGCACTTGTTCAGACAGTACTTAAATTTGAATCACGGTTGACTTTACTAACAGAAGTGTACAACATTGCATCTGATCTGCTGACAAGACTTCAGTACAAAGGACAGAATGCACTGGACAATCTCAAATGTCAAGTTTTCAAATCTGTGCAGAGAACCTGCAGGGGTACTTAAATACAGACAAACAGCCAATATATAGATTTTTTTGCGATGTGAGAATCCTTGACTCCAATCAAGTTTGTGTACTCTCCCACAACTTCAGTGACTATGAACAGAGTTCTGCTGAGTTCTGTACCTTGAGGGTTAGTGGGCAGTTTACTTGAACATTGTAAATTAACTTTCTAGTACCAATTAAATTTCTCTCTCCAGTTTTTGGAAAAGCATGGACAAACATTTGCCAAGACTTCGGCTATATCTACAGTACAATCTTAAGTCGACTTATGTAAATTGACTTAACAGTCGTCACATTAATTACTGCAGTAGCTGATGTCCACAATAACCTCCTTCTGTTCAGTGGTGCGCGTCCTCACCAGGAGCATTTCCACTGACTGAAGAGGGGCAGTATGTGGGACAGAGAGCCAGGGCTCTCAGCTCCCTACAGCCCCCCACTAGGAGCCCAGCTGCTCCCTGGGGCTCCTTGCCTTCCCACTCCCAGTCGGGAGCAGGCAGGAGCCACCCAGGGCTTCAGTGGGGAGACTCTGGAGCCCGGGTCGGCTGCCATGCTCCTGATAGGAAGCGGGGAGCCAGGATCCCGGGGGTGTGGGGAGCAGGGCTCCCAGTGGGGAACCTAGGTGGCAGCACAAGCCAGGAGCCTGGGTGGCAGCCCGGCTTGAACCAGAGACCCGGTTGCAGTCAGACTTGTTTTGTGATCACTTAATACATTTTTATGTTCTAAAACTGACGATTTCAGATGTAAAAAAAAATTAAAAGTGTTTGTAAACATTGTAATGTAGACTACTGCATTTTTGTGCTGTAAAGAATTACATATTGCCCATGTTTGTCTATACGTATTTTTTGTATTAATATAATGCATATCTGAAATTTTCAAAATATAAATCTTTGAAAATCAGAAATTACTCTGTTTTCGTTGCCAGAAAACACTGGCCTTAGTCATGGCTATCCTTGCTGTGTGCATAATTTTTGCTTTGTGTATTGCTGCTCTGATACTGTAGGTCATGTTCTATTAATTTAGATGGAATAAAGGAGCCCAAAGAGTCAAAGGTGTTAACTTGACCCTGAAACTGTCTACCATAACACAAAGTTCAGGGTTTGGTATACAGAGACATTAGCCTGCTTAGTACTACGGCAAACACGTTATTAAAAATCTTTTAAACTTTGTATTAGTTACAGAAAAGACAGGAAAAACAGTTAAAACATTTTAAATGTAAAGTATTAAGTAAGGCTTTTATGTTAACCATAACCCTCATTCCCTTTCCCTAAGGAAAACTTGTCTGACAATCTTTGAGATGGCAATAGCTTTCCCTTTTTGGGGGAAAATAGAAGAAATTAGTTGGGATGGGGTAGAGCTGTTGTTAAAATCCAATGCCATTTCCTAAAAAACAAAATGCATATGGGGGAGAGAATACAACAGCAAAGACAGAAAAATGCAGCTTCTGTCTCTGGTGTTGACTCTTAGGCTATGTCTACACTATGCAGTTTTTAGTGACGTGGCTGTGCTGTTTGTTGGTAGGAGAGAGCTCTCCTGCCTATAAAGTGCTGTTCACACCAGCGTTTGTAGTTGACAGAATTTTTGTCTTTCACTTGCCAGTTTAGACAAAGCCTTACTTGTAGCCTTACTGGTGGAGAAACAAAGACACAGCCCATGGTCTTATTAGACACTTCGAGACCCAGCAATCTTGCCTGATTATAGGCATGCGCAGCACATTTCATTAGGGTGTGCCCCCCCCTAGCCCCGCCCCTATCCCCCCCCATCCACTCCCTCCTATTT